ACACAATTGACTCCGCAAGTAGATCTCCAACGCAAAGTGGAGATCATCGCCCAGAGCGTTGACCGGTTAGCTAAAGTGCAAGAAAAGCACTATGAGTTTAGTCGCAGCGAGGATATCCGTGCGTTCGATGCGAACGGCATTACGGGATTTTGCTCGCGAACTAGTAGGCGTTGTGGGATCCGAGGTGAGTCATCGCCTCGAGAAGACTGAGCGTTTTTGTGTCGGCGCCATCGAAGGCATCAAGGTGGCCGCTCCCAAGGAGGAGGAGGCCCGTCCTCGCAGGGAGCCAGTCAAAGTCAAACTCCCTGATTCCTACAGTGGGAAAAGGGAAGAGAACTTTGACAATTGGGAGGCCAATGTTAAGACCTATGTGCATTTGCAACAGGTCTCCCCGGATCAGCAGGTCTTAATTGCGATCCATGCACCTAGAGACGAGGCCGCCAGTTTCGCGAGATCCCTTGTTAGTGCTGCCAACTGTAGTGACGATCCAGTTGCGTACTCCTCGTTTACGTCCCTCATTGAATTCTTGAAGTTGCTGCGTGAGCGATTCGCTGATGTTGCCCATAGTGTCAAAGCCTCAGATAGGCTTCAGACAATACACTCGCGCCAATGGAAGAGTGCAAGGGCACTAAAGGGCACAATGGATGAGTTGGTGGCTGTTTCGGACCACAAGGTCACGGAAACCCAGTTGGTCAACCTTTTCTACCAGGCTATGCCCAAAACGCTGCGTGGTCACTTCTTTGACAAGAGTCAGGACCCTGCTATGACTTATGATATACTTAGCAGGGAAGTGGTCGCGTTCGAGGCGAAGTCTGCGTCGATTTCCACCTTCTGGCACAAAGATTTAGACAAGTGCAAAAAGTGGAAGGGTCGCACTATCTCAGGGCAAGTCAAAACCAAGGATAGCCTTGTGCTCACTTTAGATGAGGGTAGTGTGGACGATATCCCCTACGACCAGATTGAGTGGGGGTTCGAGGAGTGTGGGCCAGGGGAGGACTTACGCTGCTGTCGCGGCTGGAGGGAGGCCGCAAGGAGGACGAGGCCAAGGCCAAGGGGGTCGGGCCTCAGGGAGTCGGTTCTAGGGCGATCAGGGGGTTGGCGGCAGAGGAGGGAACCGCCAAGTGGCAGGTAGGGGTCAAGGTTCCCCGCAAAATCGTCCTAGGAACAGGTCTCCCTATAGAGTAGGAGGATGGCACCCAGGGCTACCTCAGGGTAGGCCGTGGGAATCTTTGGGTCTGGACCAGGCTTTATGGCAACAACGATTGAACCGGGGCCAGTGCATTTTCTGCGGTGACCCGGGGCATATCATCAAATATTGTCCTAAGTATAGAGAGACCCAAACGGCTGCCCCAGGGCCAAAGGCAGCCGCCGGTAGGGGTAGCAACTGCCCCTACCACTAGGCCATGTGGGGAAAATAGCGCTAGCCGGCAGGAGACTCCCACACCACATGTGCCTACGACAGAGGTTGCAGGCCGGTGTCTAGACAGCTGCCCCGAGACTGCTTGTGTTAGAGTTTCGCTAGACACCTCCCTCATAGGCGTGGCGGAAGAGTTGAAGGAGAGAAGGCCCGTCTGGGCCAAGATGAAGAAGGAGAATAAAGGGCAGCTGATTTTATTAGATGCAGAAATTTTTAGAAGTAGAGTAGGGGCCCTAGTAGACTTAGGGGCCACCTGCAGCTATATTAGTAAGCAAGCGCTGCAGAAGTTGAGGCTGGGACTTAAGGTCCAGAAACTGACAGACCCCATAGTTAGTATCCTCGCGGACAATCGTACCATGGTTGTAGAGGATTACGTAGAGGGAGTTCAGGCGTATTTTCGCCTAGAGAAAGATGGGAAGGTGGAGAAGGTCCTCCACTCCCTGACTCTCCTCGTAGAGGACAGCCTCCCGTTTGATATTGTGTTGGGAATGGATTGGGGAGAGGCAGCCGGGGCAATGCTCCATCTGAAGGAGCACGAGTGTAGACTCCCTAGTTCTGCAGGCGAGGCTAAGACTGGCCGCCTGTTTCATGTGTCAGGAGTAGAGAATTCCTTGGCACATTGCTGCCTTAGTTCCCCTGTGTTCGCTAGATTGGTGAAGAAGGAGAAATTAGAGGAACAGGTCTTTGTTGCCTATGTTAGGCCCGTCACTGAGCCTACGGAAGAGAAGTCGGTGGACCGTGCGATTGCCAAGCTGCTGGAGGAGTTTAAGGATTTGACTGAGCCGCCGACAAATACGGTGCCGCGGCCCATCCAGCACCGTATCGAGATAGAGCCTGGCAGTAGAACTCCTAAGGGTGTTGTGTATAGGATGTYCCCGCGGGAGTTAGAGGAGCTTCGCAAGCAATTAGACGAGCTCCTCGAGAAGGGTTGGATTAGGCCCAGTTCGTCTCCTTTCGGAGCGCCTGTTCTCTTTGTTCCTAAGAAAGAGGGAGAGYTGAGAATGTGCATAGACKATAGGGGTCTGAATGCTATTACAGTAAAGAATGCYKWGCCACTRCCTAGGATMGAYGATCTCTTAGATCGAGTGCAGGGGGCTAAGTATTTCTCTAAGATAGACTTRAAGTCCGRATATCATCAGRTAGAGGTACACCCTGATGATCAGTATAAGACAGCCTTTCGGACTAGGTACGGGCATTATGAGTTTATAGTGATGCCCTTTGGACTAACCAATGCGCCAGCAACTTTTCAGCGGTGTATGAATTATTTGTTTAGGCCGTGGTTAGACATATTCGTTGTAGTTTATCTAGATGACATTCTAGTGTTTAGCCGGACCCTCGAAGAGCATCAGGGTCATCTCAGGCAAGTCTTGGAGAAGCTGAGAGAAGCTAACTTCAAGATCAATGCRAAGAAGTGCGATTGGGCGAAGACCCAAGTTTTGTATTTAGGCCACGTCTTAGACGGAGACTGTGTTAAACCAGAAGATAGCAAGATCGCAGCGATTAGAGATTGGCCCACGCCACGTACGCCGACAAAGTTGCGCTCGTTCCTGGGCTTAGCGAATTACTACAGGAAGTTCGTGAGGAACTTCTCCACCATCGCTGCGCCCCTTCGCAGATTGCTGAGAAAAGAGACAAGCTGGAAGTGGGACAAGGACTGCACGTCTGCCATGAAGAAGCTAAAGCAGGCGTTGATAGAGTATCCGGTCCTTAAGGTCGTCGATCCGTCCTTGCCTTTTGTCGTTACTACGGATGCTAGCCAGTACGGCATAGGCGCAGTGTTACAGCAAGACGATGGCAATGGCTTTAGACCCGTAGAGTTCATGTCCGCTAGGATGCCTTCAAAGAAGATGGTTAAAGACCCAGGCCAAGATGACACCTAAGCTTACTAGGTGGGCCGTAGAGATAGATCAGTACGACTTCGAGCTCAAGCCTGTCAAAGGGAAGTACAACGTAGTCGCGGATGCTCTGAGTAGGAGAGCAGATTACTTTGGGGCAATAGTACATTACCTCGATAAAAGGATCTGCAACAGAAGGTTAGAGAAGCCTACGCGCAGGACCCTATCTATAGTGACCTCCTTAAGAAAGTCAAAGAGGCCCCAGAGACTGAGCCGAATTACCGCACTACTGAAGGATTGCTATTTGAGAAGACTAATGTCTTTGACTGGTTGTGCATCCCCAATAGTGAAGAGATCCGTAGTCTGATTCTGGGGGAATGTCACGGCACAGAGGGTCATTTCGGTTGGCAAAAGACTTTGGCCAATCTGATGCGCGCGTATACCTGGCCAGGGATGAAGAATGACTGCGTAGAGTATGTTCGCAGTTGCAAAGTCTGCCAGCGTAAGAAGAGTTCTACGCGCGCCCCGCTAGGTCTTCTCAGACCCTTGCCCATTCCGGAGCAGCCGGGAGACTCAGTGTCAATAGATTTCATGGACACTCAAGTCAAGAGCAGGCATRGCAAGAGCCAAGTCATGGTCATAGTTGACCGCTTTAGCAAGTACGCAGTTTTTGTTCCTTTGCCTTCTGAGGCGCGTACTGATTTAGTCATACAGAGGTTCTTTGACTGCTCGGAATCCCGCTGTCTATAGTTAGCGATAGAGATAGTCGCTTTACTAGCCAGAACTGGCAAGAACTCATGGGAGTATACGGATCTAAGTTGTTGATGTCGTCCGACCGCCATCCAGAGACTAACGGTCAAACAGAGCAAATGAACAAGATCCTACTGCAAGTTCTGCGCATGTATATTAGGCCAGATCAGATTAATTGGGATGAGATGTTGCCTAAAGTAGCTAGTGCGTACAATAACAGCGTGCATCTAGCCACCTGCCGCACTCCCAACGAACTGCACAAGTCCTTTAGACCGCGCAGACCGTTTGAGGGACTCAAACAGGATCATATTTAGAGGTTGCCGCCCGGGACCCGGGAGTTCGCTGTACAGCACGAGAAAGAACTAGCTATTGTTGTAGAAAACCTCAGGAAAGCCCAGCATAGGATGATAGAACAAGCAAACAAACATCGTCGCCCTTCACAGTTTCAAGTAGGCGACTTAGTCTGGGTTAGTTCGAAAGAGTTTGCACCTGAGGAGAACATCTCGCAGAAGTTACTGCCCACATATAGAGGACCGTGGCCTGTTCTTGAAGTCAAGGGCGGTGAAGATGGACCTTCCTATACAATAGAACTACCAGCACACCTCCACACGTATCCAGTTTTCCACGGATCGAAGTTGTTACCTTGTCAAACAACTGATCAGTTTCCATCCCGTAGATCAATGATCCCACCTGATATGGATGGAAGGTATGACATAGACGGTATAGTGGCTGAGGATGTCTTCAAAACCGGAGGTAGGGGTCGTCCGCAAAAACAGTACAAGGTTCATTTTAGTTATCAAGAACCGGAAGACGCACCGCTGGTTTACAAGATCTGAACTTCTAGAGACAGCTCCCGATATAGTCCGGGCCTATGAAAGACAGCAGAAGGGTAAAGGTCCTGCCTTGGACTGAAATTTTCTCGGAGGACCTCGAATTGAGGCCGGCGGGAGTGAAACGGTATTCACCAGTTCGCAGTAGCAAATGCAGATCCCAGGGCTCGATCCCTAGTTCCCCATCTTACCTGTGTACAGTATTGATGACAACCCGTAGATTTGAACCTGGGACCTGTCGAAACGCCAGTGGTAGGTAGAATATCGTAGGTCACAGCTTAGAAGGGAATCGAACTGTAGACCTGTAGGGTAGGAGTCTAGACAGTTCCGAAGTCGTAGCTGTAGGATGTCTGAAGGGTCAAGGTCGTAGCTGCTACTTACTTGAAAGTGCAAAGTCGTAGCTGCTACAGTACCGAAAGGCCAAAGTAGAAGTTTCTAGAACTGGCCTTTCGGAGTCAGCCCCTGTTTAGGCCGAGGCAAGTGGGCAAGTGGTGTAGGTCCACTACGTAGAGTCAGCAGTCCGAGGTAGCCGAGTCCGGTCCAGTCAAGCAAGTACCGTCTGGGACTGTGCACATCGTGGGCCAAGGGATACAGGGCAGACCAACACCGCACAAAAGTATAAATCAAGAGGCTGCTTCCAGCCATTCAGTATTCCTGCGGATGCCATGCGGAAGCGCTGCCTCAGCAGCTTGTGCGATGAGGTCTGCAGTGCGCCCGAAGACGAAGAGGGCAGTGAAGTGTAGTGTAGCGATAGGATAGTGGCAGCCATAGCTGCCATAGCTATAGTAACGTGTGTGTGTGTGTGTGTGTGTGTGTTGCGTGTAGAGTGTTGCGTGTGGGACATCCAGGGTGATCCAGAGTGCGAACAGTGAGTTGTGTGGGCGCTGAGTCGCCATAGCCAGTTTGAAGGGAACTCCTACCTGGTTACGATATCTTTGAGTACTGTGTGGGCGCATGTCGCCAGTTTGCTGTTTCGCTGTTTGCATGCATGACAAGTGTGAAGAGGTGAAGTCTGATTGCAGATTTGAGAAAAGGGGGAAAGAGTTCTGATAGGAGGAGGTGGGAGGGAGAAGGGGTTAGAGGGGGGAAAAGAGTTGAAAAGTGGGGAAGTGTGCAGGAGGGCAACACGTGATAAATTGGGGGAAGTAGGGGAAAGGGGAAAGCACTTGGCGTGAGAGGCAATGAAGAACGGAAAGGGGGAAAGTAGGCCTGATAGGAGGTAAAGAGGAAGTGGAGAAAACGAGTTGTGAGAGTGGAGGGAAGAAAATGGAGAAATTGTTATTGGAGGACAAGGAGGCAGGATAAAAGATGGAGATGAGGGTACATGTGAGAAAAGGGAGAAGAGTTCTCATAGGAGGTGCGAGGTGCGATGGGCAAGGTAAATAGGAGGGTAAGGGTGCAAGTGGGAGAAAGGTTGATAAATTTGGGAGAGTAGGATCGGGTGAAGGGATTGGGGTGGAAGGGGGAAAGTAGGTATGAGATGAGGGGTAAAGGGAGTGGAGAAACGGGGAAGCGTCACAACAGCAACCGACGTATGAAAGGCCTTCCACGATTCAGACCCCAAATTCGAGTTTCAGGGTCAGAGGCCTGGGCCAAGAAAGGCCGAGTCGGTTAGTTTCAGAAAAGTCCCAGTCGGGTACCTTAGCAGTCAAGTCCAACAGGCACCTGGCAAACAGTCACATCCTAGGGGCAAACTCACGTCTCATAATAAAGAGTCATATTGGAAAGTCACATCCCACGAGCAAAAGGGCAATTTCACAGGCAAGAGTCGTGTCCCGGAGGCAGGAATCACTGTCCACAGTCAAAAACCATGTGACATAATCGAAAAGTCGTGACAAGCAGCAGCACACCAATGAAAATTCGGGAAAGGTACCAGGCCCCGACATTCGAAAGCAAACAGGCCATGGGGATGTGGTACCGGAACCAGGTCAAGCCCCAAGAAGCAGAGGCTGGCTTGACTAAGCTTGGTCGAAGACAATGCAAGGACTGGCCAGCCTCTTCATTGGGCAGATTGGTCATTCACATGAAGTGAAGGAAGTGCTGGTGCACTTGTGCGCTATTGTGAGGGGCGAAGCGCAAGCCAGGGAGCTGCGCTAGTAGAGATAGAGAGAGGGAGCAGCCATAGCTGCCCCAGCACTGGCAGAGGGAAGGCAGCCATAGCTGCGCCAATGCTAGTAGTTAGTAGTAGATCTCAGAGGGCTTAGTAGAGTTAGTAGTGGGTGTATTCAGAGTTGGTCCTCGAGATGAAGGTGTGAGTGCATGCAAGTAGGGAGAGAAGACACAGGGAGGTAGTAGACAGAGAGAAGACTGAGAGAGAAGAGAGAAGAGCTTCGAGAGAGATACTTACCTGAGTGGAGATACTGGATACTTGGGTTTTCGTTGTTGAGCGCCTGTGACTGAAACTCTTAATTGCCTGTATGATGATTTGTTGGAACTCTAAAGCTGCGCTTACCTGGTCTTCGTTTCTCTGGCCTCCAGTGTGAACTTCGTGTGATCTTATTCATGCATGGTGTGCGATTGTGTGCGCTCATGGGTGGTGAACTGAGAGGTTCATTGCACGTATGTGCAGATGCCGACCATGCAGACCTCCGCCACGACCAGGTACGTGCCCTCACATCATTCTCCACTCACTATCCTTCTTATCACCCTGGACTTCTCCTGCACGCTCCTCTCTCACCAAGGACCACTGCCTGACCCCGCTGACCATCCAAGCTTAGTCAGGCTATGGAGGGATGAGCTATGGCGCTGCCTTCTTGCAGCGCCCTTCTCATAAGCGACCGCGCTCGCTTCTTCTTGCACGCCAGCCAGCAGCGCGCGAGCACCTGCTCCAGCATTGCTACCGCTCACTTGTTCAAGTGCCCGAATGCCTGACTCTTGCCCACGCACTTTGCTATATGCAAAGCGGCCTGGCCCGATAGCAGGCTGGCCTGGTCTCGCGTGTGCCACGTAGCCTCACGTTGGGCCAAAGTGTCTGCGCCCAGGCCCATTCAGACAATGGCCCAGGACCAAATTGGTAAGGCCTGCCCAACCACCCAGGCGCAAACGTGCAGTGTCGCCTGCTTCCCCTGTGTTCTTGGAAGAGCCTAGAAGGCTCATGTTTTCGATCCTCACGAGCAGGGCGGATGTAACCAACTGGCACGTGGTAACTCTCTGGCGCCCACCAAGACTTGCAAAATTGACGAATTCGAATTCAGGCCACATTGAGATTCAGGGGCCCGCCTTCACTTAGGGTGGGCAAACGCTTGCTTATGCCTTATGCAGGTATGCCGAGTGAAAGGCCTCCACGATTCAGACCCCAAATTTGAGTTTCATGGTCAAGGTTTTAGGCTAGGAAGGCTAAGTCGGTCAATTTCAGAGAAGTCACTGTCGGGTACCTTAGGAGTCAAGTTTAACAGGCACCCGATGAACAGCCACAACCTAGGGGCAAAAGTCACGTCTCATATTGAAGAGTCATATTGAAAAGTCATATTCTGCAGGCAAAGGACACTTTCCCAAGCAAAAGTCGTGTCCCAGAGGCAAGAGTCACAATCCACAGTCGAAAGTCATGTTCAACAATTGAAAAGTCGTGACTCACAGGCCCAAGCAGCAGCACACCAATGAAATTTCGGGAAAAGTACCAAGCCCTGACATTCTGAAGCAAACAAGCCGTGGGGATGTGGTACAAGAACCAAGTCAAGCCCCAAAGCCTCCTCATTCGGGCAGATTGCTCATTCACATGAAGTGTGGAAGTGCTGGTGCACTTGTGCGCTATTGTGACGGCCGGAGTGCTGAGCCAGCGAACTGCGTTGTTAGAGGGAGAGAGAGAGGGAGCAGCCATAGCTGCCCAGCGCTGGCAGAGGGAAGGCAGCCATAGCTGCGCCAGTGCTAGTAGTTAGTAGTAGACCTCAGAGGAAGTCCTGGCGCTGATTGAAAATAAGTCAGAGAGAAGACCGAGAGAGAAGAGAGAAGAGCATTGAGGGAGATACTTGAATGGCGATACTGGTTACTTGGGTTTGCGCTGTTGAGCACTTGTGACTGGAACTCTTAATTGCTCATATGATAATTTGTTGGGATTCTAAAGCTGCGTTTACCTGGTCTTCGTCTCTCTGGCCTCCGGTGTGAACTTTGTGTGATCTCGTTTGTGCATGGTGTGTGATTGTGTGCGCTCGTTGGTGGTGAGCTGGGAGGTTCGTTGCAAACTGGTATCGGAGCAGAAGCTCGCTGCATCCACTGGATATCGCCGGCAACGATTAAGGCCGGCGAGAGAGAGAAGTGAGTGGGGAGAAGTCTGACGAACATGGGAAGGTAGGCCGAAGAAGAAGTGGCCAGTTGGGTTAGTGATTACGTACCTGCTGCATTGGAGCATTGGAGCGATGGTGGAGCTTCATCAATGGAACGCTCACTGAGTGAAGTGCATCGACCCCCTAAGCCTTGTATTGCTCGCTGAATTGTCTTGGTGATTGGTACCCTCCACAGCCTGGTGTCGCTGCTGCTGGGCTGGTCCAAGTCTTGAGACATACTCGATTTGCTTTAAGTCTAGCAACCAGTCAACTTTGTAAAAAAAGTATATATATAGTTTTGGAAAGAAGAAGGCAATAAACACTGTGGGAAGGGTATTCAGCAATCAGTGAAAGTCAGTCCCACTCAAGGGTTAGTCATTAGTGGTAGGAGGTAGGTCTACATGGTGAGGAGGTGGAGGCCATTTACCTGTGCCTTTAATCGCCACGGATGACTACCCCATGTTTTCACTTCTGGCCCTGTCCGTACGTTGGGCCGCCCTCCTTCGTTTTATCTTTCCTCTCGGTTTCCAGTGGACATTTTTCTCACATGCGGTATTGAGGTCTGGGAAATCGACAAAGCCATATACTGCCGAGGAAAAGGCAGAGGTAGACAAAAAACTGGCTGAAAAGAAGAAAGAGGAGGAAAAGAAAAGGGAGGAGGAAGTGAAGAAAACGTTATAAGAAAAAGAAAAGATGGAGAAGGAGATGAAAGAGAAAGTTGATGGAAGAACTCGAAGAAGAAGAGGTAGAAGAAGGTGAGAAGCTGGAAAGAAGGAGACCCCAACAGACAGAAGAGAAGGTTGAAAGCAGCCATGCTGGGGCAACCCGACCGTTGCAAGTGGAGGCGATGGACTGGATGGGGCAGTTCGGGTATCAGACGGAGATGCTTGAAGAAACTGAGGAGGAGAAAACTGCCTCTGTGATTAAGATAAGCTGCTATAGACGAACGATTAGCCTCCTAACTGACACCCTCCTCCATACTAACCAGGAACTCGCTGCCCTCCATTGATCCGTCAGTAAACTGGAATTCCATGAGGGAGAGTTCGAGGGAACCTGGAATAACTTCCTGCGTACAACCTCCCACTAGATAGATGACCGTATCCTTGGGTACATAAAGCAGCTAGACGAGGCCCTCATCAAAAAGTTATCCGACCCTTCCGTAGTAAGGAAGATAAAGATTGGTGGTGCGGGAGGAGATGGAGGCGATGACGGTGACAACGAGGACAAAAAAGGAAAGGGTCCCCAAAAGGAGAAGGACAGTGAAGCGGAGGAGTCCAAGCAAAAGATGAAGGTGAAGATACCCTGGACATATACGGGGAAGAAGGAAGAAAGTATCTTCCACTGCGAAGCAGCAATGGACACCTACCTGTATGCGCAGAAAATACCATATTGGGACCTTGTGTTAATAACGAGTTCGTGTCTATCGGGTGATGCAATTAGTTTCGCCATCTTCTAATGAAAGAGGCCGGTTGTACGTCCATGGTTCCATACTCGCAGAAGATGCGCATAAAAGAGTTCTTCAAGGCCTTGAGAGAAAGGTCGAGGACAAGAACCTGGCCCGTAGGACAGAGTCCATGATCCTCAACATTAGCGACCGCAAGTGGAAGAG